AAAAAATAACATTTCCAACTATTAACAGATTCAGAGCCCAGCACACCATGAAATAAGGGATTACACTTCCTGCGTTTACATCCGTCTCATTCGCGCGCACACACACAAAACGTGGTGGCATTTCGGCATGTAGGGGCCACTCTCAGCTCCAGACAGTAGATAAGCATCAGGCAGGCGTTTGATAAAGACGGTGATGAGAGGAAACATTGGAGAGGTGAACTTATTATGGGTATGTGAAACGAAACTGCAGAGAGCCGTCCCTTATCTCCGCTGTCTGTGAAGATGAGGCTCCAAGTGGGGAGCTTGAGCTAACATTTAAAACCGGCTCCTCTCCACCACTCACTTCAGATTAATACTGACGGCTCAGCGGGGGCTAACACATATTAATGCAATTATTTATATAGTTACATATCATTAATTTTAATGGTTTCTACAAAAATTTTATTAATACATTTCAATCCTATTTATACAGTGGCCCCTACAAGTATTTGGGCATTTAAAGGGACAGTTGACCCAAAAACACACATTTTGTCCTCATTTAATTTTTTCTGCCAAACACAAAAGAAGATATTTTAAAGCACATTGGGCTTCAAACAATATTGGACCCCATTTACTTTCATTGTATACAGAAAAAAAAAATTGTATCAAAACATCATCTGTTGTGTTCCATAGAAGCACAAACAATATATATTGAGAGATACATTTACTGTGAAGTCATCACAGACATTAGCTTTTTCTCATTGGTGACACAAATGCACTGCAGTTTGCAATTATACAATGTTAAAAACATTGAACCAAACAATCCAACTAACCATGTAACATACTATATAATTCAGGATTATTAGACATAATTTCCAGAGGACTCAGTCCCTGCCTTAAACACAACATTTGTGAATAAGCAGTCAGCTTTCCACAGATGTTGATTTTCATCGGGATCCATCTCTAAGGCCAGCGTAGTGCTAATGCATGTTGAGTGCCGTAATTAACAACACACACTCCATTAATACCGCTTAATACATGCGGCGCAGAAAGACTGGATGCCACATTAACTCCTCCAACTTTCTCTCCTCGCTTTCATTCTATTTCTCATTGGGCCAGATGAGAAAACACAATCTAGCCAAATCTGCTTCAAGAGATCATGTTTAGGAGGATTGAGGGTAGGAGGCAAATAAATAAGGCAGCACAGAACATTAGTTGCCGTTATACCAGGGGTTTTGAAAATGTAATTAGGTTTTTTTTGGAGGATTTAGCTTTTTTTTTTTTTTTGTTTCGTTTTAATTTAATTGTTCATAAATATATTTTAGTTGGTTGGTTTGCACCACCTTTTTTTTCCTTTTCTTTTGTACTTGTTTTATTTTTGCTTCAGTGGAAGATCAGTTTTTATTGTTATTTTTTCATTGTTTGTGTTACTTGAAACAAAGCAGAAATAAAATATAAATATTAGTTGAAAAACAAACTTGTTGACTTGTCAACTAACTAAAGTTTTAAGTATTAAAATCACTAAAACATGAAATAAAAGCTAAACAGAAATATATAAAAAACAAGTAATAAAAATAACAAAAGTAATAATTACAAAAAACTTCAACTAAAGTTAAAATTTCAAAAATTTCAAAAATAAAAATATCAAAAATACACTGCTAAACTCACTCTCACTATTTTTTTT